AAATTTTATTTAGAGACGGGGTCTCACTGAGTTGCTGAGGCTGGCTTTCAACTTGGGATCCTCCTGGCTCAGCCTCCCAAGTCCTTGGGATTACAGGTGTTCACCACTGCACCTGGCTTCATCTAACATTTCATTCATTTTTAAAGACCCAGGAATAACCAATAGAAGCAAACAAAAAAAATATAATCCTACATTCTAGTGGAATCCCAGGTTTGGGGGTGTGATATGTTTTATCATTATATAGATACTGTGTGTGTCATTATTTGGGGAATATACAACATTTGGGAATATACAACACTCTCAGGAGAAGCCATTCAACCCCCCTTGAATACCTGGCTCCTGATCACCATGACTTTCCTACCTACTCCTCCGAGGTTGAACAACAGAATTCTCAGGGGAATTTTAAGCCTGGACCTAACTCTATGGTGCCCTCTGCCTTTGAGGTGGCACCCTGAGTGGTGCACCTTCTCATGGAGGACCAAGTAGGAAGACATGAGGAATTGAAGTTTATGTAAGGGCAGGGTAAACAAATGTCAAACAGACTTTCAGAGTAAGGGGCATGTGTAAGCAGAATAAAATACAACACCAAGAATTAGAAAATAAAGGACGATCACTCAGTACAGTTAAAAMAATATTTTCATAATGCATAGGGATGACATATCATTTTCCAAATTCTAGGCAGCCATATCTGTCCTGGAAWCAGTACAGGGGCAATTCTAGACTTCCCAGTCCCAGCATGACCACAGTCCCTCCATTACCACCAGGCTTCCGGTCTCCCACAGGCCTCTCTACTCCAAATCTGCTCATCTCCATATCCCTAATCTCCCCTTTTTCACTCCATTTTTCATATGTAGCCTTTTGTCTGTTCCTAGAGCAGCCCCAACTCTTTAGGCTAAGGGGCAAAGGTCCTCCAATTCATCCCCCGACCTTTTCTTCCATCACCTTATTTCTTGACCTCACCTTGATCAGGAGGATGTTTTCCCCCCAGAGGTTGAATGTGGTCTTTGGGTTATGGTTTATGGTTAAGCCTCCCCTGTCATCTTTTTCCTAAGGCCATATACCTTCATCTCAGCCAAAGTGACACCACCAGGAGGAGGGGCTGTGAGTGGTGTTGGGTTGGGATGATGCATGTCTGCTCATGAGGTTATGGAGATGACCTAGTGCCCCCTGAGTCACAGCCCATCTACCCAGTTCTCTGCTGTCCCCATTTCCTAAGGTGCTTCCTCCCCTTCATTCCTCACTTAACACATGCCTCCTTCAGACCCACCTCTTTCAGAAAGCTATCGCTGACTCACCCTCTCCTCTGAGCTTCCATAATACCCAAGTTGAACCCCTGTCACAGAAGCCACCATAGTGTGCCAAAATATACTCTTTATGTATAGCTCTGTGTCTTCCCAGAGCTCCTTCAGATACAGGATGAGTTTGTTTGTTTGTTTGTTTGTTTGTTTTTTGAGAGAGAGAGAGAGAGAGAATTCTTTAATATTTATTTTTTAGTTTTTCAGCGGACACAACATCTTTTCTTTGTATGAGGTGCTGAGGATTGAACCTGGGACCACACGCATGCCAGGCGAGCGCGCTACCGCTTGAGCCACATCCCCAGCCCTTTTTTAAAATTTTTATTTCAAATAGCCAGTGGCTGCCTACACTTTTTGGTTCATAGTTAGCCCACAATAAATGTTCCTTGAGAATATGAATAAATGAACTCTAACAGTTTTTGTTAAGAAGACAAGATGAAGAGAGCTGGGGGTCCTGCTTGAACTCAGACAATCGGTTGGTTACTAAGCTTGGTCTTGAACTCAGGTCTTCTGGCTCCAAATCCAGCGCTCTTTCTGTATATAGCTACTTCTGTGACTGATGGTGGTGAGGAGAGTTTGCAGCAATGGAGTTCCCAGATACCCTGACCATCCACTGGTCACTTGGGGAAAACCTTGATCAGTRGATTAAAGTTCATCTCATCTTGTCCCTTACCATCATATCTAAAGAAGCCATTTCTATTCCAAGTCTTCCAAATGACTCAGCCAGAGATCAAGTTCACATGATACTTGATTTGAGTCTTGTATTTGGAGGAGGGTAATTTCACCCTCTCAATAGCTCAGAGAGAAACTGGACCCTCGGCCCCAGAGCCCAAAGAAGGGAAAGACCTTCCCRGTGAAGGAGGCAGTGAAGGTGTAGATGTGCTCATGAGTGACAGCATTGGCAAAGGTCACCCAGCCCACCTCGTAGTCAAGAGATACCCGCACCTGCCGGAGCTGCTCCTCCAGGGCCAGTCTTGCGGGGAAGGAGGCCAGGGCAGAGACAAAGCCCCAGGCCAGCCTCAGAGCCCACACGCCCTCCTCTGGGCGCAGCCGCAGCTCCCCCTTACGCCGAACATCCTCACTCACCACACCCACAGTGCAGCTGCCCCCGTGGGCCAAGTCCACGCTCACCACCCAGGTGTGTCTCCCRCCTGTGAAGCCACTGTGGGCTAGGACACAGGTGGCCCGGTCAAAACGCTGGGGGCTTTCTGGTGAATTCTGCCATTTGTAGGAGAACTGAGCCCGTTGGTGGTCCTCAGACAAGAGGAGCTTGGGGTGGGAAGTCTGGGGGTCTAGAGAGATGTGAGCTATGGGAAAAACCCAAAGAGACAAAGATGTCAGAAAACATGCTATGACCTTCAAGGAGAGCCTAAAACTCTTCTTTGCACCCGCTTTCTAATGTTATGGCACCTGCAAGGACCCTCAGCATGCGCATCACCTGGGAACTTGTTGTAAATACAGACTCTCAGACTCTGCATCTCAACATGGTGCCCAGGGGGTTCCTCTAAGGAACCTCAGAGGGCGCTACAGCCCTTATTCRGTTTCTGTCCTGCTGGGCTGCAAGAAGTACCTGCCAGCTGGACCTCCCTCCTGCTGGTACACACAGTTGCCCCTCCCCTATCTCCTTCTCAGAGGCAGAGACTTTTCTTCCCTGGGGCCTAACTTCAGGATTTCTCCCTTGCTCTCTCTCCAGGGCATGGTGACTCCTTTGCACACTTGTACTACCAGCAGGCTGTCTGAGTCAGACTTGATTCAGACAGCCTTGGGTTATTCACCCTGCTTCAGTCACTCCAAACTGCCAGACTCTGATGACCACTTTTTAACAGCAAAAACTTTGGCAGAACACTTCAAATTTTTACTTTTAGTATCCATACAGTGAGGAAAACCCATAAATTCAGATCTATYCATGGGTTAGGGAGCTATCCCAACAACTCTATGACTCCTCCTCCAAAGGACMGTGTCTTTAGCTGATAGATGGGAAATAACGCTGCCCTCTTTCAAACTGTCATTAATGAAATGACACCTGAGAGGGAGCAGCTCTTTGAGAATGTGATTATAAACCCAGACCAAAGTTTCCCTCATGCAAAAAGGCTTCTCTGATATGCCTTATTCCATTCCAATTTAATCTTTCTATCCACTCAACATGTGCAGATCAGAATGTRAGCTTCATGAGGAATGTATGTGCACCTGTCCTTTCTTATATATATATAAGTATATATACCATCCCTTGGTATCTGTAGGGGACTGGTTCTAGGAACCCCATGGAGACCAAAATCTTCAGATGCTTAAATTCCTTATATAGAATGGTGTAGTGTTTACATACACATATCTTCTTATATGCTTTAAATCATCTCTAGATTACTTATAATACATACAAAGTTGTAAATGCTATGTAAATATGTTATACTGTATTGTTTAGGGAATAATGACAAGAAAAAAGTCTGGCCATATTTAGCACAAACAGATTTTCTGAATATTTCTATCTGAGGTTGGCTGAATCAATGGATATGGAACCCATGGGTATGCAGGGGTGACTCTCTGTGTGTATACACACACAAATATATGTGAATACATTTGCATGTGTGTGTATACGATGTGTGTGATTATATATATATATATATATGATTACTGTAGTGCTCAGTGTAGAGCCCTGCAAGATTGTTTCTCCTTTTTAGGATCGCCATCCTGATGTAGGCTGCTTACCTGGCTCATAGTCCAACTCAAAGCAGAGTTTTTCTGTAAAGAGAAAATAAAACACGATGAGATTTCATTATTTTTGAAACCAGAGAACACCCAGTGATAAGGGAACAGGTCCAGAAGAGGGAAGGGACAAGGAGAAGAATAGAAGTTAGAATCCTCTAGGCCAGCGGTTCTAAACGTAAGCTTGCATTGGAATTACCTCAAGTACTTGCTAACACACACCTGATTCACATTCCTGTGCTCTGGTGTGGGCTTCAAAATTGCATTTCTARCAAGTTCCCAAGGGGATACTGATACTGTTGCTGTTGACCAGGAGCCCCCCTTTGAGAACCACTGCCCTAGGTCTGAGTGGGCAGCAGCCATATTGCCTTGCTTACCTCTGTATCCACAGTCCAGCACATAATAAATGCTCAAGAAACATCTGCTAGATAAGTAGCTAGATTTATTTTCTATCCTGCTTAGAAATAATTTTTGGAATAGTGAAAGGTCAGCCTTTGATTAGAGTAAAATTTCCTKTACTGTCAGGCGAATGGGAATATTTGTGGGAAGTAGATTTATAGGGAAAATTCTTCCAGGATGATGTTTTTGTGGATGGGTCATCATTATGATGTCATAGTTGCAGGGGTGCTATCTCTTTTGTTTCCTTCTGGACTCTCAAGCTCTCCTCACTCTTTCCCACCAACACTCCCTGTTCCAGAAAAGGGTGGAGCACAGTTGCCACAGGGGCAGCCCAGCTCTGGGAGCCACTCTAACAGAAGGAAAGCGAAAGGGAGGGATGGATGAGTCAGCTCCCACAGGGTAAAGATAACTACTGTCACAGGTTATGGAAAACTAACAACATCCATCATCTAAAACTTATTACAAATGCCATTGTGGATTTTTAAATGACAGAATGATAGATGCTTGGCAATCATTCTCTTTTATATTATTTAATGCCAACGGATTAGTTTTGTCTATTTTTCAAATCAGTTGAATTTTTCCCCAGAAATCTTTACCTTTGTTACCTCTCTTCATTGTCATATCATTCTGAGAGGCAGATTTTATTAAAAATCTTCAAGCAAGAAAATAAAGGCACTGAAAGGGAATAAACCTCGCCAAAATTCACAACCACTTGGCAATGGAGCATGGAGACCAATTCCAAACCCAGTCTTCATGACCACCTCTGTGGGGGCCTGGGGTCCACTTACCCAGGAACATCTTCATCTCCTTCTGCAATGGGAGGGCTTGTTGGGGGAAGTTCCGAATCCTCTGGCCCAGCTCAGGGGACACAGCCTCTGGTTTCCGGCACTTTCTGGTTTCACATCTAGGGGCACAGAAACGACAGGGTCTGGGAATTATATTCCTTAATGAACACCTCCAGAATCAGGTGGGCATCTTCTAACATGGCTTGGAGACACCAGTTTTCACAGACATACTTCCTTTAAGGCAGACGACACTGCTATCTGAGGGTGTGCATCTACAGCTGTAAGTGCGAATATATTTTGGCATGTGGAAGCTTACGTTTGAATGTATGTCCTTAATGTGAGGATGTTGTATCTGTGTATGGCTATAACTAGGTATGTGGTGCACGTATTTATTTTTATTTATGGCACCAAGGACTTAACCCAGGAGTGCTCTACCCCTGAGCTATATTTCCAGTCCTTTTCAATATTTATTTATTTGCAGTGCTGGGTATTGAACAGAGGGCCACACACATGCCAATAGGCAAGTGCTCTATTATTTTTTTATTTTGGGACAGGGTGTTTCTAAGTTGCCCAGGCTGACCTCAGATTTTCAATCCTCCTGCCTCAGACTCCTGAGTTTCTGGGTTTACAGGGTGCACCACTACACCCAGCTATATATGTGTATTTATGTGGAAAAGAAAAGAGAAATTGCATTGCTTACCTTATTAGAGTGCTTCTGATATCCTAGGGGAAAGAGAAAGGCAGAGGGGATGGGAAAGGGGGGAGAAGGATTTAGTTCCAGTTTTTCTCTACTACTTTTCTTAGGTCTACAAAGACAAAATACCCTTTTCTAGACCTATACAGAAAAAGGACACCAGATCCATAGAGTTCCAGAACATTAGGATTCACAGGCTTTGAGGATCAGAGCCCAATCTCTGTATTGTGTAGACTCAGGTGGTGAGGTGACGGTCCCTGCTAGTTGGAGGCAAAGGGGAATGAATCTCATTCCCAGGTCTCCTATTTCTTAGTCCCTAGTGCACCCTCCTAAATCATGCTGCCTTTATGATTCCTTGTTGGGTTCCCAATATCCCTCCTCCAGTTTGAGAAAGTGAAATAAATAAACCAGTAAGAATTTTCTGGCAGATGGAAGAGACATTCAGGTTATAAAGACTGACTTGCATTGGAAGTAACACCTGACACTTGTTTGCATAATATTTGGTACTTTTTGAAGTGCCATTTCCACTTCCTCACCTCACAGAAGCCCTGTGAGATTTGAGAGATGATAGGATGGAGAGATGGAGACCAGGAAGCACAGTGTCCAGGGAGCATTTGGGGAAGCACAGCCTAAAATCAGGACTTGTAGTCCTGTGACCCATTTCCCATCTGGGATGTAGAGATGCCTGAGTGAAGGTAGCCTGGTGTAGACAAGGTAAAGATGGTGATCACAGAGAGCACAGTGGGGGGCCAGGCCTCACCGTCAGGAGCTCCTTTGCTGGCCTCTCGCTCTTCTCCTCCAGCTCTTCAATCAGGGCACTAAACCGGCAGATCTCCCCAGCAACCAGGGAATCAAACTCTTCCTGTTGCTTCAAAATGTCACCATCTAGCCTCTCCAGTTGCTCTAAGAGTGTACTCTGCTGTTCCTCCAGGAACTGGCTCAGATGTGCAAACTCAGAAATCACCTGTTGTCTCTTGGTGGCCACCTGAGTCTGAGAAGGCAGGATAAGAGCCAAGAAGAACACCTCCCCCATCATCTCCTCTCCTTAGTCCTCATCTGTTTTCTTCTTTTTCCTTACTTGGTCCTATCTCCCTCTTAGCCCAGGTCCATGTCCTCCAAGGTTTGGTGGTAAAATCATAGCCCTCAGCATCCCTGCCATCTCCCCAGAGAGATCTGGAGTTGTGGCATGGTTTTCTTTCCACCTGCCATCCTGTTCTGGGAACTGGACAGTACAGCACTGCCTCAGCCACCATCTGCAGGAGCTTCTAAAAGGGGTAGGGCTCAGAGGAGGTAGAGGGGACACCTGACCTCCTGTCATATAGGAAGTACACACTGTGTGCATACTACCAAGCTACTTTACAGGCAGGATCTCATTTATCCTTGCAGCAATTCATTGAGGTGGTAATGATTTTTTTTATCTCTATTTAATAGATAAGTAAACTGAAGTTAAAGAGTTGCTTGAGCTCATATAGTGAAGTGTCACTGCCAGGATTTCAGACTCAGGATGACTTTAAAGCCCTATGCTATGTTGCTTGTTTTCAGGGAGACCCTGGACACTGAGGAATGGGAGGGACCTGGGGAAGGGTAATCACTTACCAGGAGGACTTGTATCCTTTTATTTTCTCTTGATTGGATTTCTTGAATCTCCTCTCTCTCCTTTCTTAGATTTCTAAGACACTTCTGTATTTGTTCCTGAGGGAGAAGGAGCATAAAATGCTAAGATGAAAAAAAAAAAGATTTATTAAAGAGGTGTCATCTTATCCAACCCTCTGTCTCTGGGAATGGTAKACAAGCCCTGAGTCTTCAGCACCTTGACAGCTCACACTCTTCGGGTCTTTTCCCTCTTACACTGTGTTTCAAGAGTTTTAATCTGGGCTTTCCCCTTCCTCCTGTGCCATTAAAGTCTGTGACTTGCTTTTGCCCTTTCTTCTGGTTAAACATCCACTTTCTTTTGCATCTGGTAAGTGGTCTTTCTCTCTCCCTCTCTCTCTCTCTCCTCCTTCCCCTGTACTGAGGATTGAATCCTGGGGCAGTCTGCCACTGAGATACCCTTCCAGCCACTCCCAGCTCTTTTTATTTTTTATTTGAGACAGAGTTTCTTGATAAGTTGCCTAGACTGGCCTTTAACTTGTAGTCTTCCTGCCTCAGCCTCCCAGTCACTGGGGTTACAGGCATGTGCCACCATGCCTAGCTTAGTAGGTGGTATCTAGAATCTGTCCTGATATACTTCAAGCTTAATATCACTGAAATTGTTCCAGCTTTCTGACATATCCAGAAGGAACTTGTACAAATAACAATGCTCTCTTTTATAGAATCAATTATCTAGGTATGATTCCATAAGGGAGAAAAAACTTGGAAATGCAGAAATAATTGATGAATTGTTTTAAAACTGTTCTAGGATGGAATTAGGAACAGGTATATACATATAAAAGCCCACATATGCATATTCAAAAATACATATAGATTCTCASCATCAAGAGCTAATTAACTAATTAAGACATCCACACATACTCTCACTTGTAGTAAAACAATATATGAACAACGAAAACTGGCACATATCCATTTAAGAGATAAAATTATCTACTACATATTCTATCCAAACTATATATATATATATATATATATATATATATATATATATATATATATATATAAATTTATTCAAAAAACATAAAATGTTACACTTACACACTTGAATAMTCACTCAGATCCACACCCAAAAGACTGTTCCCCCTTGTGAACATGCAAACAATGGTACAATTACACGGTGTGTGATTGTTTCCTCAAATACAAGCCTAATACACACACACACACACACACACACACACACACATGTTTTGGTCACTCATTCATTCAATAAGCACTTACTGAGGTCCTGTTGTCTGTGGGCCACCAGTAAACAATATAAGACACCCTTTAAATGATAAACCTGTGATTTTCTGTGCCTAGTTTTACTGCCTGGGTGACCACATAAGTAGAGAGAAAGAATTTGGATTCAGGATGGTCCAAATAATCTACAACTCTGCTCTATTTCTCTTGGTCCAGTCCAACTTGATCCCACTCTGGGGAGCCCAGGTCCCCCTTCCTACCCKGTAGGGACCTGCAGCATCCTCCAAGAAGCGCACAGTGTGAACCCTGTGCTCCCCAGCTTCACGACACACCACACACAACTGCGCCTCATCATCCTCGCAGAAGAAGTAGACCTTCTCGCCGTGCTCCTGGCAGACGTCCTCCTCCTCTGGGCCCAGCRTGGCTACCAGCTTGAGGCGCTCGATGTTTTCCACCACATTGGCCAGCTGCCAGTTAGGCCGGAAACTCCCCGGACGGAAAGGCTCTTTGCAGAGCGGACAGGTGAGGGACTCCTCGGATTCTGAACCTGGTATCTCACAGTAGCGAGTGAGGCAGCCCCTGCAGAAGTTGTGGCCACAGTCGATGGTGACAGGTTCCCTCAGAGTGCCTTGGCAGATGGGGCAGTTGACCTCATCTACCAGGTTGGTCACAGAGGCAGCTGAGGCCATGCTGGTTCTGCTGGCCCTGTGGACTCCTCAAGGTCACTCTCTCTGCTTGATTAAGGTGGAAGGATTGGGAGAGCAGCAAGGGCACAGAACACACACTCACACACTCACATGTGCACACCACAGACACAAACATAGTCACACACACTCAGACAAGGCACCCACTTGCATCTCTGGTGCCAGGGTTCCGTTTTCCTGCTCTCTTGGGAACAGACACACCTGCCAATAGCAGAAATGGAAAAAAGGCAGAGGAGGGAAGGAGAAGAGGCAGAGGGGCTCACAGCATTCCAGAGATGGCCTCAGTTACTGTCTGGACCAATGATCCTGGCCTGGGGCTTGCTGTTGCTTTCTGTCCATCCAGAGACCCTCACAGTGGAGGAGTGTGTTGGCATCTCAGCTGTCAGCTCTGAGAAGAGATCAGTCTTCTTTTGGGGACAAGAGGGAGACTGGGTCCCAGAGTGATGATGCCACCCCTGCCTCCCTGCAATGTGACCAGCTGTCTCCAGGGAGATTGGAGGTATCAGCCATCCCAGGGCCTGACAGTCAGTAGGGAGGAGAGTGTGGGGACTCAGATAAGGTCCTGTGCTGGGGTGTATTTGGTGATGTCCCAACTGGCTTCCAGAGGTTTCAAATGAGTTCAGAATATACCCTGCATGGGGGAGGAGAAAGAAAAATAGTCATGGCTAGCATTTCTTTATGATGACCACACACCTTATACTGATAAAAGCACTTTAAACACATCATTTTATTTATTCCACCTATCTGCTCTGTAACGCTGGTGCTATTAGGCTTTCTGCTTTGTAAAGCAGAAAGCTGAGGCTTAGCCAGGTTCCCTCAGCTTGCCCTAGGTCAACAAGTAGGAAGTGACCATGATTTGCAGGTAGAGCTGTGTGTCTTCCGAGTAATACTGTCCAATAAAAATACAGTGCAAGCCACATATGCAATTTATTTATTTATTTACTAAAATTAAAGATGATTTTTAAAAAATATTTATTCTTAAGTTTTAGGTGGACACAATATCTTTATTTTACATTTATGTGGTCCTGAGAATCGAACCCACTACCTTGTGCATGCTAGGCAAGCACTCTACCACTGAGCCACAACCCCAGCCCCTAAAGATGATTTTTCRGTGTTTACGTATGCAATTTAAAATGTTCTAGTAGCCTTTCAAAGGTAAACAGAAAAAAATAATTTTAATAATATATTTTATTTGGCCCACTATTTCCAATATGTTATGAGTTCAGCATGTAATCTGTATGAAACATTATTATTATTATTATTAATTGTAGTACTAGTAGTAGTAGTAGTAGTAATAGTAGTACCAGGGATTGAAACCAGGGCACTTAACCACTGAGCCACATCCCTAGTACTTTTAAAAATATTTTATTTTCTAGACAGGGTGTCTCTAAGTTGCTTAGGGCCTCACTAAGTTGCTAAAGCTGTCTTTGATCCTCCTGCCTTAGCCTCCTGAGCACTGGAATTACAGGTGTACACCACCATGCCCTGCTGTATAAAACTTTATTAATGAGATATTTTAATTGCTTTTTTGTGCTAAATCTTTGAATTTCAGATGTATTTTACATATACATTTCAATAGTCAGTAGCCATATGTGTGGCCCGTAGTTCACATATTTGACAATATAGCTCCAAGACTGTGCTCTTGATAGGAGTGGAGGGTAGGGGTGATATACAAAGTAGCTGGAGGGAAAAGGGGGCAACAAGGAGGTGCCGGGCTGGTCATGAATGGAAGGGGCCCTGATTTATCTGCAGATGCAGGTGAGCAAAGAAAGACTCCCCCCTCCCCCAATTTCTGGCTTCTTGATCTTTGTCTTGGCTGGTAGTGCAGGAAGAACACAAGACTTGAAGCCTGGGGATTAGGATTGTCCCCAGCCTGTGGCTGTCAGCCTGTGACTTTACTTCTCTGTTTACATTTCCTTCTCTGAAAATGAAAGTAATGACACCTGCCCCAAAGGGTGGTTATTAGGAATGGACCTAATAATGTGAAAATAGTAAACCCTAGATAAATATACTTGAATCTATTTATCTCTTTGACTAATTGAGTTTTCTATGTTTTTTTTTTTAATCAACACATAATTTGCATTATGGTTTCTTGTCTTTTCCCACCTGCAGTTAAAATATGAAAATGAAATCCAGGATCAACCAAACTCCACTGGAGATGGTGGTCCACAGAAGTGGGGCATTTAGGAGTATAGGGAAGACCAGCATGGCAAATAAGGCACGATGAAGAAAGACAGGCAGAGGAGGGAAACCTCCAAGAAGACCTGTCCGTCTGAACAGAGTCCCCCAGAGTCTCCGGAAGTCGGTCACCTCCCATTCCAGCTTGGACTTTGACGCTACAGGCAAACTTCACAGCGAGTTTATGGCTCCCACCTGCTCAATCTGACAGGAAGTGGCTCCTCCCCAATTCTCTCCACCCCACTATGGTCAAGGGATTCCAGGAAACTTCAGACGTGACCTCACGGGGAGCTCTTCTCCCCAATCCAGGAACTAGAAGATAACAGAGGAGTGGAAAACTATCTAGCTCACCTGGCCACCTCTAGGTAGTTCAAGATGCCCTGGAGTTTGGACCCATTTAGCTGATGGGTGGTGGCCAAGGGTTCCTAGGTGTGCAAGAGGTGGAGCCAGGTGGCTTCTCCGTGCGGACATTCCTGCCTTCCTCTGTCAGCTCTGTGTTCCTTTCCTTTGGTGACGTATTTAAAAGTGACTCAATTTCAGGTAAAGGAAGTTTGCGTGAACGTGGCTGAGGCCAGTGCGGACAGGCTGGGGAAGGCACCGTGATGCCTTCCACCTCCTCCCTGCAGTTGGTCCATCAGGGGGCTGCCTGTCCTGCCTGTGCAGGGTCCCTTCAGGATGCAGTAAGTGCCGCCTGTGGACACACCTTCTGTAGCCTCTGCCTCCCTGCGCATGCCCAAATGGGGGCCCAGCCCTCCGGCAGGGTCCTGCTCTGCCCGCTCTGCCAAGAGGAAGAGGAGCAGACAGAGACCCTCTTGGCCCCTGTGCCTTTGGGTCCTGTGGGAGAGATGAACTGCGAGGAGCACGGTGAGAAGATCTACTTCTTCTGCAAGAATGATTCCGAGTTCCTCTGTGTGTTCTGCCGGGAGGGTCCCTCCCACCAGGCCCACACTGTGGGCCTCCTCGAGGAGGCCATTCAACCCTACAGGGTAAGAAGCTTGGCTTCCCCTTGGCCGGTTTGGGTAGGATGGTGTGGCTGAGGAAATGGGGTGGGGGGGAGTCTGCTTTCTAAAGCCTTCCCTTTGCCCTACAGGCAGGTCTGTCCTCTGTRTTCCCATCTCTCTGTGTGCATGCCTGACTACTGCATTTATCTATCTAATATTATTCACTCTCAACAAACTCCTGCCTTAAGTAGTGATCCTTTTAGGGACAAGAACTGGATCTTTGTCACCTTCAAATTCTTTGGCGCTCTGCAGTGTTCCCAGAATGTGGGAGAAAATTTATATTTCTGAGTTGAATTATTAATGGAGCCACTTTTCTCTGCCCTTTCTTCCCACAGGATCGTCTCAAAAGTCGTCTGGAAGCTCTGAGCACAGAAAAGGACAAGATTGAAGACATAAAGTGTCGAGAAGATCAGAAGCTCCACACACTTCTGGTAAAGGCCAAGCCACTTGCCACCGTTTTCTCTGGGGTTTTTCTTAACTGACTAGGGAAGTCTGTTGTCTGGTATCTGTTGCCTGGCCAGAAAGAACCTGGCAAACTGTTCTTATTCACTTTTCTGCTGCCACACACAAAGTCACTTGGGATCTCAGAACATCTCAGAACATCAGAGCTAGAAGTGGTTCTGATGTCCTCTAACCTAAGATCCTTTTTACATATAAATGTGTGGTACTGGAATTGAACCCAGAGGTGCTCTACTACTGAGCTACATCCCCAGACCTTTATATTTTTTGAGATAGGTGAATATATATTCATATAAAATATGTATTGAATATGTATAATATATATATATATACATATAACATATATTTAAAAATATAAATATTTTTTTATTTTGATTTAGTGAGAACTAAGTTGCCTTTGGTCTTGAACTTGCAATCCTCCTGCCTCAGCCTCATGAATTGCTGGGATTCCAGGCACGTCTCAGCACCTGGCTCCAAGATCCATTTTTATCCATTTCTTACAGAGTGAAAAACTAAGTTCCAGAAAAGTGATGCTCGCAAGGCTACATGGCAAAGCCCAGGTTCATGATGAAATGACAAAAACCTGAGTCTTTTGACTCCTAGTCCTTTACTCTTTGGCTGGAGTGTGTCTGCTTGAAAACACTACCTTCAGATGGGAGCCTTGGGGTTCAAAGATGTATGTAAGTGTCTGGATTCTAGTTCTGACACAAGAATGACCCTGAGGTCAGTAGGCTAATGGTGGGGGCTCTATCTGGCTCCCTCACACCTCTTTATCCATGCTACAAAGTTAGCCAGGAGGAAATCCACAGTGTGGAATTGCTGGTACCTTGACCAAGGAGATGGACTATCAGGACAGAAAGATCTCTCCAGATCTCGACTCCCATTAAAGCATGCCCTGTAGATGGTGACCTCAGTGGCTAAAACCAGGGTCACATACTTGTTCACCAACCTGTGTTGATTCTAATCACAACTTCCTTTTGCCTTAATTTCTCTCTAAGAAATTACCATAATCATCTCCACCTAACTCTATAGAAAGTACAGTGGAGTTAAGATGGTATTGTAGATGTGGAAGGCCCTTTGAAAAGCTTAATGTGGTTCTGAAAGCATAATGTGGCATTATTATTTGAATCTCAAGCTAATGATAGCATAGCCCTTGTCACTGGTAAATTTACCCTGAGACTTATCAACTTACCATAGTTTTATTTGGAGGATTGAATCTTCAAGCTCCTTAGTCCCTATTCCTCTTAATAAGTACATCAGTAATCCTTCTGGGAAGGCATGGTGACACACGCCTATAATCCCAGTAGCTCAAGCTGCTGAGACAGGAGGATCGGGGTTTCAAAGTCA